TTCTCGCCATCCTTTTTGAATCTAATATACGTGACATTATCAAATTGGAATAAGAAAAAAACATTATTACGTAAATGTTCTTTTAAGTAAACATTGATTGGTCCTGACAAATTTACGTAACCAAACGTGTTGTTACCTGGCACTGTTGCTAAGCAAAACATACCTTAAATCAATAGCAAACATACATGTATGAAGTTAACACAAAAACATTACGCTAACGAAAATATGCTTCTTTATGTAATAAAATTCCCGGTAAATTAAACGATGAAAAGGAAATAGATTATTTAAATTGACGCTGCTTTATGATTCAAAAATCTGATTATTTACATTACCTCGATAATTACCTCTAACGTTTTTTTAACAGTGAAAAAACGAAGCAGTGGATATCGCACACAGCGATTTGTTTTATGGCATAGAAACGTAAATATGGTACTTGGTACTCTTGAATGTCTCACCTTGAAAGCAACATCAGCATGCGTTGAAGCCGTGTTACAAATAATTATATTTTAGTTTTTGTTTATGTTTTTTTTATACCTTTTTCCCATTAACTGCGTGATATGTGGCTGATCAATTACAATGTTACTAAATTAGTTGTTAGATATATGTCTCTTAAGTTATATAGAAATTTTATTCATTAGGATGACATGATGGCTACTGAGCCATTGCCTTCGGCATCGGGGGTCGTGGGTTCAGACAGGGTACAGATAGTTATTTCGGATCTGGGTGTTTATTCCCAAGCAGGGTACATTGCATACAGGCATTGCGCCTGTCGTATAACTATTTTACAGAGGATCATTTAGACCATGCCAATTATGTGTAGAGCATTGATGTAAACAAAAGTCTTTGACCATCTGTTTGACCTTATTTAATCTGCTTTAATGCATATTTTAAGGCTTTCATATTATTTCAATAATTATAGTTATTTTATATAGTGATTTTCTGATCTCATACTTAATTGTTGTTTAAAACCTGATCTTACAATAAGTTGCTTATTGCATTCTAGTTCTACGCGATATCACAGCTAGTTCAGACTGGTGTTTTCACAATATTAATATTCTATTATCATTTAGTATACAGCGTGTCTTTAAAATCGCGACAATAAATGAACACACATATAGGGATAACTTTTTAAATTGTATTAAACATTTACATTCTTAAATATCAATATTTACAGAGTTGTTAAATTTTCCAAAACAAAGAATTTCTAGAATACCCGTACGTATAAAACTGTAACGTAAAGTTCATTTGTAAAGGTCACAAAGCATATGAATGGGTTGAATGAATTTACAAGAGACAAAACATACTGTTAGAAGGAGAGGCTTGTAATGCGACGCTGGGGCGCGAGTTGTATAGGATGTTACAAATTTTGTTTCTTATTTACTTACCCAAAGAGGATCTTGGCCTCCGACACGAAAAGACGCCACTGCTCTCTATTCTGGGCTGTTTCTTGCCAATTGGCTGATTGGAGAGCTCTCAGCTCTTTATTGACTTTGTCTTTCCAGCGATATCTGGGGCGACCAACAGGACGCTTCCCTTTTGGTTGCCACATATAAGCTCTCTTGACTGCACGATGCTCCCCCATCCTCTCCAAGTGGCCGAGCCAACGCAGTCTCGCGGCTTTCGTTTCGCCGATAATGTTGGGTTCGGACACAAGATGTTCAATTTCCCTATTTTTCTGAATTCTCCAATTCCCATCCTCGTCTTTCACCGGTCCCAGAATTTTCCGCAAGATCTTGCGCTCCGCCACTAAGAGCTGATGCTCTTCCTTTAATGTCAGTGTCCAAGCTTCACAGCCATACATTAAGATAGGTCTGATCACCGTCTTATAGTCACGTATCTTAGCTTGGAGTTTGGACACTAGGACACTTTCAAACAAACTAATTAAGTAAAAACAAAACAAAATTTGTAACATCCTATACAACTACAACTGACTGATTCACACATTCACAAACTTTTTCATTCGTTGCCACAACGTCGCATTACAAGCCTCTCCTTCTAACAGTATGTTTTGTGTCTTTTAAATTCATTCAACCCATTCATATGCTTTGTGACCTTTACAAATGAACTTTACGTTACAGTTTTATACGTAAGGGTGTTCTAAAATTGTTTGTTTTAAAATTTAATAACTCGGTAAATATTGATGTTTAAAGAATGTAAATGTTTAATACAATTTTAAAAAGTTATCCTCTATATGTGTGTTCAATTATTGTCGCGATTGTAAAGACACTAGTCATTAGTCATTCAATTTTATAGTAATATCCATTACGTTACGACGTACCCACTGTATATATACGAATACAGTCAATATCTTCTGTTCTTTCGGGGACGTATCACGGCCTCACAGAAGACCAGCGTGAAGTGGAAGTGTTATATTTTTGTGCTTCGTCTGGTAAGTATGGTAACCGGGGCCCGCTTATTACCCGACTGCGCCAGAAGGAGAGTTATGTTTTTCGAGAATATGTATGTATGTATAATTGTTTGGCACGCTCTGCAGACTGAATGGCTTGATGGATTTTAGCTTGAGAGGTGTCGTTAGATTCGTATTTACTGCGAGAGTAACACTGAATATATGAAAATAAAAAAATACACAGAAACGTAGTTGGGTTTTTTAGTTTTTTAAATTATATTCTACTTGTTTTAATAGTTTTCAATGCATCTGCAGACTTCGGTGTTGTAGATGTCCATGGCGGCGGTATTTAATTAACAATGAATGAATCGCCTGTTCTCTTGAAAATTGTTGACATAAACGAAAAAAAGTGTAAAAATCTTCAAGCTTTCGAGCCAGCCGTCTCGCCTTAACAGATCGAGGCAATTATCATATTATTTGTACTGCGATATTACCAAGCGTATCTACAGGTTTACGATCATACATAAACGGACGTTCGATTGATGTGACAAAAAACAAAATAAAAAAAAAGATATTTTTGTACATGCAATATCTGAAAATCAACAGGCGAGCATCTCTGATAATGTCTGAATTTCATGGACATTATGAACGGCTTAGTTATAGATAAAAAGGAGCATTTAATTATTGCTCCATAATAGTTATATACAGGCTTTTCTAAGTGTATTCATTATTTTTTATTAAATTCTAGACTAGTTCTAGATAGATAATGTTATATAAAAAATGATAAATATTTAAAATCACTCGTAAGTAATTAATTGCATTCATTTGAACTTATCGTAGTTTGAATCGTATCGTATCGTCGCATTTGAACGTATATTAGTTTGAACCTCCTGTGTAAATTTGGGCACTTCTCAAAAAATCTCCCTGTATATATCAACAGTTCAACACTTTGATTTTAAATAAGGATATCTGTCATTGCATTCCTTACATAGCTTTTGCTATAAATGTAACTTATTTTTACCTTCAATTTGAATAAATACGTGTTACACTATTACACCAATTGCATTTCAAGTGACCCTGCCTACCTTTTCTGTATAAGTTACATTAAGTAAAGCAAATTTTAGGCCAGTGTTTTCATGTTATGCGACTATGCTTTTGATGACTACTGTCTTTTAAAGTGATTCGGGGGAAGAAAGTTTATTTTGTATGAGAAGGTGGTAAACGAGCAAGCCGTTCACCTGATTTTAAGTAAAAACCAGGTGGTTGATCTGTTGCAAACCTTTTACCCCAGTTATCCCAGACGAAAAGCTAAAGTACCTATAATACTTCCACTCGACGCTTCACATACGGTGGTAGGGCCACGCAGCAGCCTCGGCTGTTGCACGAATGGGCAGGCCCGTCCGGGTAAGTACCACGACCTCACAGAAGACCAGCGTAGTGGAAGTATGACAAATACTTTCGCGTTTCGTCTGGTGAGTGAGGTAGCCGGAGCCCAATTTTCAAAGGTTGTCAACACATCTGTAACCCTCGGGTGTAGCAGATGTCCATGGGCGGCGGTATTCACTTACCATCAGGTGAACCGTCTGCTCGTTTGGCAACTTTTCACATAAAAAAAAAAAAAAAAAAAAAAAAAAAACATAAGTAGGTAATATTCACTACTGTTACTCCGGCCTCACATAGTATCACTTCTAAGAGTCAGTCGTCTCTCGATAACCAAATGACTGTATGTACTGCTTAAACATCTAGGCTAACATTGAAAAGAGGTCTAATTTGTTGTAATGTTTAGATCAAACCATCAGCTGACCGCGTCTGTTTCCTTTCAGCGATAGAATCGAGTATACGTGAGGCAAACAGACTATGGGCGAAGTAATTTAGGTCACGAATGAGTTTTTATTCAATTCTTTGGGAGGAAAGGCAAATATTCGGTGCACCGAACCGAACACTCGGTCTGTGCCGCCGCCCGGTGCCTACGTGACGTCGCCCTCGTGCCGCCGTACGCGAGGGGGAGAGAGACGGCCAGCGTGTTTTGTTTCTCGCGTGCGGTCCCAGTTTCTATCGATAAAGGGTCAAAACATTACACTCCCTAAGATAGAATTAATAAAAATTTCCAGTTTTGACAGTATCTTTACGATTTAGTATTTAAAACTTTTTAAGACCAAAGCTACTCATAACTCGTATTTCTATTACGTTTTTATTCTCATTCATAGTATTCGGAAACGGGATAGCTTTGTTCTAGATATATCTTCTAGAAGATAATGACAATGTCTGCTGTAATTTGACCTAGACCCAGGTTGGTTTAATTAAACGCTTTGCAGTGCGTATGCAATAGGCATATTATACTCGTTCTTATCTTACTTGTTCTTATCGACATCGATAAAGTAGAATGTAAACAATATCAAACAACCCTACAACTTGTGCCGAGTGAACCACTGGAAGTAGCGTGGGCAAAGCAAAACATAACAAAGAATCCAGTTACTCTGCACGAACACAACAGTCAGTCTCAGTCAGTCGTTCGCAAGTTCTCGAATCGATTAGACGTTGTATCTATCAACAAGCTAGCCTGAACTGATAAAATATTTATAAACAACTGCTTATTCTTGTCTTGTTCCGAAGTATCAATATTTGCCACTGTTAGTACAATTGGGCAGCAAGAATGTATTCCACGAGGAAGAGTTTGGACAAAATATTGCAAATATATAAAAATGAAATTCGCCGGCAAATTAGCAAGACCACCAGCGTTACTAACTCCGACGCAATGGCACCACGGCTGGATCAGTCGACGCACAAGCCCCAAACGAGCGAAGAAACTGGAATCCCTAAGAAATTGCTGATGTTGCAGAAATATCACAGGTCAGTGAACTCGTTGCTGGAGTGATTGTTTACGTAACGCCAATGAACTTATTTGATCTGTATGAAAGTAGCATCATTGCGTAAATTTTCTTCTGAATTTAATTACTTTTCTCTTCATCTGTATTAATACGGTGATCTCTTGTAATTTTACACTGTTACTTTATTATTATTTCCAACACAATCTGAGCCGATGACCCAGTTATAAAAACGGATTATTTATAAAGATAAGATTAAAACAGTTGAGCCATGGTAATGGAACTGAATATTGGAATTGACGTCTAAATTTAATTTGTACAAAGTTATATTGTCACTTTCTTATCCAGAATGCCATTATGGGCAAAATCATGGGCAATTGAAAGAAAAGTAGTGATCAGGAGATTTTATCCTTAGATTCCTGTCCACCCTCACGCCGCAGCAAATGCCCTTGGCTGCCCGAGGACTGGCCGTCTCCAAAGACCAGTCCCGGGAGTTCATGGCTTGCTTCCCGGACATCGTGAGGGACCTCACAAAGACTGGCAAGCATATTGATGTGCCGGAAGCCAGCAAGTGGTTGGCCAAGGTACGTTCTATGTTGTTTTTGTCAGTCTTTAGGACAGAATAATATAGAACATATTGCGTTGTTTGATTAGCTTCAGAACCAGTTGCAAACCAGTCTCAATTATTAGCATATGATGTATAAAAAAGAGCCTAGGTATTAATATTAGTAGTATTAGTAGAAGTGAGATGCTCGCTAACATTGCAGACACCTACATTTTTAAAACTTAAACGAAACCTGTCTTTTTTTTGTTCGGGTATAAACATATGATTTTTTATTTTTTATGGTTTAACGTTAAACATAACGTTTTTTGTTGTGTTTTACAGCTTCAGGACCAGTTGCAAACAGGTCTCATTTATAATCATAAGAAAAGAATCTAAGTATTAATATTAGATCGAAGCGAGATGTCCGCTCATATAACGAACCCCTACATTTCAAAAATCAACAACAAAAAAGCTGCCTTTTTTTGTTTTGTTCGGTTATAGCAGTGAACTTGATTTTTTATGGATCGAAAATCAACTAACGCAGTTCTCGTGCAATGTAAATTTGTCCTGTAATACTTGTAACACGAAGAAAATTTAAAATAAAGAGTTTTTAAAGATAATTTTAGTTTAAGAAATAGACGGATGTAGTAAATTAACAAAGAGGTCACTCATGCACTACATATGTTTATCATCGGCGATTCGATTTTCGTACGATTGGATATACTAGGCCGAGTATTTTTGCGCACCGCTTGTACGATAAATGTAATTTTATCGCTCGATATTTTGCCTTTTTTCATTACGGAATTTTACCATGGCGGCAGATCTTTTAACATTGTCAAACATGAAAGTAAACGTTTTTTTATTCCTTTTAGTGTTAACCTTTTTATGTTATAATAAGCTCAATTGCTAATTGGATGGATTGGATTCGGTATCAGGGTTCGTGAGTTTGATTTCCACATGGAGTAAGCATTTGTATGACCTACACATAGATGTTCAGGGTCAATGTTTCCCAACATTGGATATTGTTCTATAGTAGGGGCTTTAAAACAAAGAATACTAAATGGTCTTAAATTCTTTTGTGCTCAATTACTTCGCAAGTAATCTTGTTAGAACATAATTATACAAGTACCTAATTTGCATGTTCATAAGCTATCCGATGGTATCAACTGCGCAAAAAGGTAAAGTAAAGTAAAGTAAAGTAAAGTAAAGTAACAGCCTATACATGTCCCACTGCTGGGCAAAGGCCTCCTCTATACAGAGGGTATCAGGGCATAGTCCACCACGCGGCCCCACTGCGAATTGGCGGACTTCACATATCTTCGAAACATATATTTTTTTGTTATTATTTCGAAAATATGCAGGTTTCCTCACGATGTTTTCCTTCACCGCGGAGCACGTGATAAGTCAGCACTTAAAGTTAAAAACTTCATTGGTGCCGGCACCGGGGATCGAACTCAGGTTGCTCGAGTATATTGAATTAAAGGCGAGCTCCCGGACACTGAGCTATCACGGCTCAAAGAAGACATATTTAATTTTCATGATTATTTATACGCACATTTCGGCGTTCTTATTGGCTGCCTCAAAATTCGATAAATACATGCAAATTAACAAAAATAGATGCATGGTACGACGTAGAGTTACATTATAGATTCAAAGTTAATAAAACACTGTCGCAATAAAAGTGGAGTTATTTATAGTATACAAAAAGAATTATGTTGTTACTATAAAAGAATAAAAATAATGAATCATTGGGCTGGTATATATGTATTTTTCACAAATGTATATTCAATTTAGTTTAGCCACAGTGTGACGTTAGGTACATTCCTAACATGCATAACCAAAATTGAACCTCTTAACGTTTTGGCCCATATAGAAGAACGAAGAACACATTACTTTCTAGCATTTATACGTTGTTTTAACTCGAAGTCTTCATCACATACAAATACGAGGTAGATATGACACTAGCGCCCTGAAACTGAGGCACTCAAGATACATTAATTGGTGTAATTAGATTGCAATTCGAATAGGTTGTAGAAAAAGTTTCTTTGCATTTTATATGAAAATTCAAAACATGTTTTAATAAAGTTAATTTACATTTAACTAAAGTATGTAGGTGCCATTTTGTTCGATAACTTTCTGCCATCTTGTACGTAGGTACATGATCCCATTGCTATAGAAATTCTGGGGCTTATGATCAAAAAACCACGACAAGTGGTTTTGGCAGTCCTCTCGTGATATTAACCTGACACTGCCTAAAGAATTCTGAAGACACCGAAACAAGTAGAAATCCAAAGGTGCAAGGTCAGGACTACACGGCGGATACATTAACACCTTCCAAACTCTCTTAATTTTTGCTGAGTGGCTAAAGATGTGTGAGGTCTAGCGTTATCAAGATAAAAACCACACCCCTTTTGTTGATTAATTTCGGCCGCTTTCTCTTAACTTCTTGCTTTAATCTCATCAGTTGTTTGCAGTAGAGTTCAGAATCAATGGTCCTGCCTGGCGGTAACAGCTCATAATGAATAATGCCTTTCCGATCCCACCATACACACAGCATTACCTTGTTGCGAGATAACCCAGATTTTGCCCCAGAGTCTGTGAAGCCTGACCAGCCTTTGACCACGGCCTTTTTCGCACGTTCTTGTTGTACGTGACCCACTTTTCATCACCAGCTATCAGGTTTTACAAAAATGGTTCGGTTTTATTACGTCGTAATAAAGAATCACAAATGAGTACACGGTTCATTAGGTATCTTTCAGTGAGCTCATGTGGCACCCAAATATCGAGCTTTTTTGTGTACCCAGCTTTTTTCAAATGCGCCAAAACTGTTTTTTGGTCAATTCCCAGTTCTTCAGCTACATCAAAACTACTGATATGCCGATTTCGCTCCGAATTTTCAAAAATGGCATCCATTTTATCCGGAACAGGTCGCCCAGAGCGAGGTGCATCTTTGACATAAAAATTTCCGGATTGAAAACGCTTAAACCAAATTTGTGCTACTCTCACAGACACTGCACGAGGTCCATAAATATCACAATTTTTTTTCGCGGCTTGCGTTGCATTTTTACATTTTGTAGTAAAATTTTAAAATGTATCGAATTTCTTCATTAGAATAACTCATCTTAACGGTAAGAAAAACAAATGAAATCACACATTTACCTGATTACAAATGAATTTACGGAATTACCGTGATAGCCCAGTTTTTAAAACCTGAGTTCGATCCCCGGTGCCGGCACCATGAAGTTTTTAACTTTTTTAATGAGGAAAACATCGTGAAAACCAGCCATAATAACAAAAAAAAAAAATGTACGAAAAATGGTATCCGCAGTGGGGCCGCGTGGTGGACTATGCCCAAAGAGGCCTTTGCCCAGCAGTGGGACATGTATAGGCTGTTACTTTACTTTACTTTACTTACATACATGCTACTTGCGAAAAGAGTTATTCCCCAACCTAATATGTACCGTTATCTCTTTCCGTATCATGCGTTTTATACCATCTGTAACATTCACTTATAAAGTTATGTCATATAATGTAAAGTGGAACAATTTTTAATCGCCACGCATGCGTCATCTATGTTATTAAACATCATTGATTTCATGTGTATGATTATAATATGCTTTAATTAGTCTTTTACAAAAAAATTTCATTTTAAATCATAGAATTTATATTTATATGACAGCTAGGTACTTAATATAAAACTCAAACGAACTATAAAACAACAATTGTTACAGCTGTTGCAGTACAATGTGCCAAATGGGAAAAAGAACCGTGGCTTAGCGACCGTTCTCGCTTACAAAATCTTGGAGAAACCAGACAATCTGACGCCGGAAAACGTGCACTTGGCGAACATCATGGGATGGTGCACGGAAATGGTACTATTTAATATAAAAACGCTAATTAAAGCTAATATGTAATATCATATGCATGCTACAAAGTTTCCAATGGTTTAATTTCCTTGCCAACTTCTACCAGGCACTGTATTTCGGGTTTGACTTGTGTAGTGAATATTCGTTCCAAGCCTGAGTGTACTTTATGGCCATGTTGTTCACGTTTGTGTAACCCACCGCTATACATTGATTGTTCCTATAATAATATAATAAACTAACCAGCCGGACAGACGTCGTCTTGTATACACGGCCTAAGTCCAACAACAACTTATATATACATAAAAAAAGGCGAATTGTGATTCTAAACCATTCTCGAATCAACCCGAAGACATACAAAAAATTTCATTAAAATCAGTACAGATGCTTAGGAGGAATTCAGTGACATACACACGTACAGAAGAATGGAATAAATAGTTCTCGAGAGGCCATCGCAGTGTATCAGGATGACCTGATTGGGGACTGCATGATGTGACGATCTGTGCAAATGTGCCAAGTGGAAGGATGCAGGTGCCTCTAGATCGTGCTTTGTGTCTGTGAGCGAGGTCTATGTCTATCAGTGGATTTAAATATGCTGACAATTTAAATGACAGTCGATACATATAACCTTTTACATGCCGTATATACATCTACCCGTATAACCATATACCTTATACTTTTCCATGTGAGGAATATGCTTAAAAAAGGTCGAAAATAAGTTTTGTTCACGTTAACATACATTATTCATTAGTATAAAGATAAAAATTATTTCGTAAATTGATTATTAAATAACGTTACAATATGCGTAATTAGTTTATAATTACTGTAAATTATGAACTTTCGCAAGATTGTCCTACATTCTATAATTTAAAATAGATTGCGTGCATTATGTTTAGCGTAACTAGGTACGATATCTTATTTGTAGACGAAAAAAATCAAGGTTAAGTTAGCGACGATAATATAATTCACAAAAACCAGTCTGGTCGTTGTTTGTTAAAACTCATATTGGGCAAGTTACGTCACCGCAAGAGACGTTTAACTAACGTTTAATATCCTTATAGAGACTGCTCTAGGACTGCCTACGCAGCTCTATGTTTTGTTAATTGAAAACTGTTGCATAGTCATTGTTTATCGTTTGAATTATCTTTATTTTCGAAAATACTTATTATACCGGCGAACATTTTTGATTCCTATGAATTTCGTTTATCATTAAATTATTTATTAAATTGTTTATTCATAAATAAGGTTTTTCTTTTAATGTCATGCTAATAACCCGAAAAAAATATAATTTGTTTCATCCGATTACACATCGGGATTTTCTTCCATGCTTGTATTATACCCGTCGTTATGTTTGAAATTACAATAGGTGATAATATAGTAACCATCTCTCTTGGGATATACCAACTGTCATTATTCTCGCCCCTGCCCATCCCCTTTATTTTTTTAATCTCAAAGATCTTATTGAATTCATGCTTTCCAGTCCAGGTACATAACTGTAATTTATAGCCGGGAACTATAATTACTTATATTAGTAAATAAAATGTGCTGCTATATTGTTTGATTCGAAAACCGTTAGTTTTTAAATATAATTTAGTAGGTGTATATACACATCTAAGGGAATATAAAATATCAAATTTATAACATAATTATAAAATTCTCGTCACAATGTTAGTTGCATACCCGTAAGTGATAAAGGTGGTTCCACCCTACAATTAATAATTACATGGCAAAACAACATTTACTGGGTCAACTAGTTAACGTATACAATTTAATATCATTCCAGTTCCACACACACCAGCTTCTTCTCAACGATATCATGGACAGTTCCGAGATGCGTCGTGGTGCGCCATGCTGGTACCGTCGTCCCGAAGTTGGTCTTAGTAGTATTAATGACGCCATTTTTGTTCAGTCCGCAATGTATTCAACTTTGAAACGACATTTCTCCGGCAAATCCTACTATAAGAATGTGCTGGAGATGTTTAATGAGGTATGTGTTCAAATTGTTAAGATAGCACCGAATCTAAATTCCTTTATTCAGTTCATCCTTGTTACAAGCTTTTATGAAAGTAAAACAGAGTAGTCCTCTGCAAAGCAGTAGGAAATTTATAGGCTGTTACTTTACTTTTTTTACGATTTTCAAATATTACAAGAAATTTTGATATTATTCCATTTTGTACCTAAGAAATGTGAAATATGAATGTAGATTCCGTATCTATCGCATGTTATACATACGAACTCCATCGTAACATTATATAATATTGTTTCGCTCTTCCAGATGTTGCTTAAGTGTTCCATCGGTCAGCATTTGGAGAAGCAAATGGCGAAGACCGAAAAGCCGGACCTGTCGCAGTTCACAATGGAGAATTACGAGGCAATCACAAAGTACAAAACGGCTTACTACACGTTCCAAATGCCGGTGGGCTTGGCGCTTTTAATGACCGGAGTGGACGATCCAGAGACGCACAGACAGGCGAAGACAATTCTCTTAGAAATGGGAGAGTTCTTCCAAATACAGGTGAGTCATAGTTTATGATTAGGTATATAAAAACAATGTGTATATAATGACATATTTATTAATTTAAGTAATGATATACCTCTTCTTATTGCGGCGCTTGGCTGAAGATTGGCTTGTTAATTCTGAAAACCGCACCCTTCACACACTCCTGCAATATATCTATCAATATTATTGTTATTTTGACGCATGGCAATGTTCCAATATGCTACCAATTACAGAAAAATAAAAATTTCTTCACTTTTTTTAAAGTGTGTTAACCTTTGTTAACAAATAAAATTCATATAACAACACCAAGTACGAATTTGGTTAATTAAGTGGTTTGAAAAAATGAGCTCCAAATTTAATTCACACCTGAATTTATAGCACTCGTTGATATTGTAACCATCAGTTTGATTAAAGCTAACAGTAAGTTATAAAATAACTTATCATTATCTTGTGTATAGTAGTTTTGTGTATCTATAATACCTATATTTACAATAGCGTATACCTCAAACCCTTCTCACTGATCATTGTATCCTCAGTAACATGGTTGCCTGGAAGAAATCGCTTCTAAGCGATAAGGCCGCCAATTGTACCTTTATGTAATTGTTTGTTACTTTTGTAATTTTGTCTGGTGTACAATAAAGCATATTTCATTCATTCATTCATTAGCGATTTTTTTAATATCTACCATAAATTTAGAATATTCATATAATTTTATGTCTACATTCTAATAATCACGATTCCGATCGTTAGAGATGAAAATACGCGGCGGTACGCTTTATTATTCTATAAGTTGCTAATCCATATACAAAGCCCATCAGAAAGCAATATATTACGTTTACCACATAATTACTGTTGTAATCTGTTTCAGGATGATTTCTTAGATTGTTTTGGGGATCCGGCGGTGATAGGAAAGAACGGCAGCGACATTCAAGATGGTAAATGCACATGGCTGGCCGTTGTAGCGCTGCAGAGGGCGACACCATCGCAGCGCCAAATCATGGAAGAGCACTATGGCAGCTCCAAGCCGGAGGATGTCGCGATGATCAAGGATCTCTACGAGGAACTTCAGCTCCCTCATACATATTCCGTTTACGAAGAAGCTACTTATGACCTCCTCAGGACACAAATTCAACAAGTGACTAGAGGACTTCCACATGATTTGTTTTTTAAAATCTTGGATAACATCTTTAGGAGAAGTATCTAGATATGTCATTGTGGATAAGGCTAAATTATGTACCTAACTGTATATTTTAGATTTTTTTTTATACTTAACAAGGTAAAATTAATGACTAATGCAAATTAATTAAATATTGATTTGTAAACTTTGTTGATAAATCAATTGACAACTCTAAATTAAAGTTATTATGTATATTTCGACGATACAATTTGTGTGAAATGTGTTAATTAAGGAATAGTTTAGTTTAGTGGTTAGTAACGTACATTCGAATAATTTTCATTATGTAACATTTATAAACGCTAATTAGAACTTCTTTCGTAATGAATTTCCGGAGAAGAGTTATAACGAATTTTTGTATGAAATGACCCATGTGAAGCGCAATAACTACGTTGGTTTAAAAACTCATATTAAAATTGCAAACACTTGTCTTTTTTTTAAAGTTATACCCGAATCATTGAAGTTTGCGTTCCACGCTGTAGATGCATGAGCGGAGAGGAATTGAAAACATCAATACCTTCAGGGGAGTAATAATAAATTTATAAGGCTATCAAAAGTAATCAATTATTTATAAGACTACACAAATAGCAAGAAGCAAATGATACGTGACCGCGCTCCTGAAGCAAAAACAAAGAGCGACGCTCCATCAGTCCACCAATAATTTGTATTTTCTAAACAAAGAGTGATGTGCCCAATTGAGGAGTAACTAACGTAGGTTTGTTACAAAAATGTTCTGAAACAAGAGCGGCAACGCGCATTAACTATGGAAAAGTACCGGTCCCACTGATCGGAATTTAACTAAAAATTACAAAATTCTTGTAGTATATAAACTAGCAAAAAGCTGAGCGTTGTGAGGGTTCGCGTAGTTTTCTAACATACGGTAATAATTTTTATGACAGTTTTTTTAATTATCATTTTAATATTACTTCGTTTATTAAAGAGAAATCGTTAAGTGCTAATCCTTATGTATTTTCGCTCTTGAAAACGCGACATATGTAAGGCCAATAGATGTTTCCTTTTCCTCAATATCTACAATAGCTTTATGTATAATGTTAGGCCTGGTGACTCTTGTATTGTAATAGTGAAAGCTAATTGCAATAGGAATTGTTTTCTTGAACAATTAATTGATATTTCAACTTTTCATTATTGATATATTGATGATATTGAAACACAGCCCTTGTTGTTATAAGTTAAAATACCAAGGATTATTACTTTTGTAATATATCAAAGCTGCCTTAACATTAATAATTACACGATTGACAATAAAATCTTTAAACCCTTCATTTTTTTTTAAAAAAATATACTTTTTTACTTAAATTTATTTATATTATTGTGGAAAAAATTAAACAAATTTTACGCTACCAGGTACCTATAATTTGATAAGAGCGTATAGTCCAGGCTCCAAACCTTTTCTTTTCAATCAAAGTGACCATCGGATGTCGCCGCTCACTGTGAATACTGAATACACTGTGAATACACTTTAATTTTACTAGCCAAAACCCAGACCTAAATACAAACACTAAAAAACTACATATTCGGTCGTTTTTAATTATGAAAATATTTTAAAGCTTAAATTCAAATTCAAATTCAAATCATTTATTCATCGAAATAAGAAATATACATTTCATTTATCGATAGTCATTTTTTTTAAATCTACCACCGTTTCGTAATGAGGTTCCTCTAACGGAGAAGAAACAGGCGAAAGAAACTCCGTAGGTATCCTCTTTTTTGTCATTTTTTTTTACTCAAAAAAATACATAGTTATACAGTATATATATTTTTTTTAGAAATAGCTTAGGAGCGATCATCTCATTCCCAGGGTTTATTATCGTTAATGTATTCATTTATATTATAATAACCCTTTTTAAATAGTTTTTCTTTAATAAATGTCTTAAACCTGTTAATAGATAGGCTTTGCACATTAACTGGGATTAAAACGACTTACATTACCGATGCTATTTTGCACAGTACAGAATTACGTTTTTATCGACTATTGTACATTCGACATTCTCCAACTATTATTTTCCATCCGATTATTTTTAATTGTGGACACGGTCGACATCCTCACCACGAAAAAAATTTATGACTTATCTACTACTTTGTTTTTTTTTGGCCACGCAACATTCTTCGCTGTTGCGCGAATGGGCGGGTCCATCGGGCAAGTTCCACAGAAGACCGGCGTAAAGTGGAAGCGTCATATTTCTGCGTTTAGGTAATCGAAGCACAATATATTAAAAGATGGCAACGCATCTGCAACCCTACGGATGTTGCCAATGTTCATGGGCGGCGGTTATTACTTAACAGGTGAATCTAGTTTAAAAAGAAATGCAAGAAATTATATTTTTATAAATATCTATTTTTAGTAAGTTCATTCTTTGAAATATCAATAATTATACAGCGTGTCGTTACCATCGCGACAATAAATGAACACACATATAGGGGATAACTTTTGAAGTGGTATTAAACATTTAAATTCTTTAAACATCAATATTTACAGAGTTATTAAATTTTCCAAAACAAAGAATTTTAGAACACCCTTACCTATAAAAGCGTAACGTAAAGTTCATTTGTAAAGGTCACAAAGCGTATGAATGGGTTGAATGAATTTAAAAGAGACAAAACATACTGTTAGAAGGAGAGGCTTGTAATACGACGCTGTGGCGCGAGTTGTATAGGATGTTACAAATTTTGTTTCTTTTTTACTTAATTACTTTGTTTAAAAAATATTTTTTTTTAAATTATGGATTTTGTTTAACGTTAATATTTTTTATGATTATTGGCAAGTAGCATTAGACGTGTGTTCATTTATTGTCGCGATGGTAACGACACGCTGTATACGATATGTAAATGAAGAGGCGTGAGCTCAGAAACCTGAATATCGGTGTAAAAAACCTAACCTCGGTGTAAAAAATGTCATTCTATTCCATATAAAACAGAAGGTGTTGACAATGCGGTAGTCATTCATAAATACCTAAATTTTAAGTTGCACGAACTTGTGTGCGTGATAGTTATGAATGATCGCGCGTAAAAGAAATGAGTTGCGTATAAATCACGCACACGTTCAAATGAATGTAATTAATTACTTACGAGTGATTTTAAATATTTATCATTTTTATATAACATTATTTATGTCTAGAATTTAATAAAAAAATGGATAAAATTAGAAAAGCCACCCTGTATAAATAGGACCCAACCAGACGGAAGCCCTCGGCAGGGGAGACCAAACGGCCGAGGGTTAGGGAGAAAGAGAGAGAAACCGGCGGACGATGCGGGCGGTATCGAGGAGCACCGCCTTCTGCATTTGAGCTTGGAGCGTTCCGTCCCGGAGTCCCAGTCGCCTCAGATGTCCGGAGAGGCTAACTGGGATTAGCCCATTCGCAGACACGACTATCGGAATAATTTCATTCGGCACCCCACCCCACATGTCGGTTACCTCGTGAGCCAGGTCCAGATATTTCGTCTTCTTATCTGTTTCGGCTTTTACGAGTTTTTTGTCATATGGAATGGTAATGTCGACCAAAAATACCCGCGACTGCCCAGTCCATCAACACGATATCACCTTTGTTCGCGACAACCGTCCTGTCCGTGATGATAGACCGGTCCCAATAGAGCCTGGCGCGGTCATTTTCGAGCACGGCCTCAGGAGGGTACTTATAGTACGGCAGTTTCCGTTCCACGAGGCCGTATTTCAGAGCGAGCTCCTGGTGTAGGATTCTGGCTACTAGGTTGTGTCTATGCAGATACTCAGAGTTAGAAAGCATAGAACAACCGGTGATAACACGCCGAAGCGACTCCCCGGGATGGCGACAAGTTCGACAGATGTCGACGGTGCCATCCCTTAGGATGTATTTCCGATAGTTGTTCGTCTTAATAACCTGATCCTGTATCGCACAGACAAAACCTTCGGTTTCCCCAAAAAGGTCACCGAAACGTAGCCAGTTAAGGGAGGCAACAGTATTTACGAAAGGCTCGTGTAGAGCCTTGTAGAACCTCCCGTGGAGCTCTTTCTCCTTCCATATGGTCTCTTGGTCGAAAACGCTCAGTACTCCCGGGTCCTGCCATTGCTCGTTGGCTAAGGATAGGGGAGTAAGTCCTTTATCACAACTAATGACGTCCGTGTAGATTGACTCATCCGATTTCGCCCGGAAGTAGTTGCGGAGGCTGCCCACCTCGCGATTGTGCATGGTGAGGGCGCTCAAAAAGCCCCTCCCGCCATGCTTCCGCGGCAGGTACAGCCTCATCACTGACGATCTCGGATGATACATCCTGAGTGACTTCATATTTGTGCGGACTTTTCGGTCCAGGGCGTTGAGCTCAATTAGAGTCCACCTGAGTATGCCAAAGGTATACGAGGAGTGGCATGACCCAGCCGTTAAATGCGCGTGCCTTGTTCACGCCTGACAAATGGCTGTTAAACACCTTTGTCAGGCGTGCAAAAAACACGTCACGAACTGACTGTTTCATGCCAGCCTCATCGATACACATGTTTTGTGACATACCCAGGTATCGGTATGTTTCAGCCTAGAGAGGGTCCTTATGTTAACGTTAATGGGCATAGATAAGTCTATTCCCTCCGTATTAGCGAGCTTACCCCTTTCGACATGGAGGACCGCACATTTATCCATCCTGAGCTCTATTTTGCTAGAATTCCTGAAATTTCAAGTGACTTTAAGAAATTGAGCCGAGCCCTCCAGTAACACGCCGAGAGGGTTCAGGGGAGGCGAATAATTTGAAACCATGTAGAAAATTGGGCTCAAAAAGTCACCCTCTCCGAACCCCATTCTATCCTTATCCGGTAACACGCTCCGCAGGGTTCCGTCACCATATTGGGCTCGCCCAGATGACATAGGGTCGTACTCCATTGCCCCATATGCCGCAGCCTGAGGAAGTCCCGTACTGTACAGTCTACTTTGTACAGTTCGGGACCCTCTTTAGCCATGTATGGGGTACCGAGTCGAATGCCTTTTTGTAGTCTATCTCCGAATCCGCTTCCCCCAAGCAGTGATCCTCTGCTTCAGGTCATCTATGCACTCCGTTAGTTTTTGCGTAATATTCGGCTGGGACAAGTTGATGTTGGTCCCAGCGAACGCCATCCTAACGGTGCGCACAATTCTGGACCTATTATTGCCCGACCTGAAGCTTATCAGCCTGCCGATGATGGCCCTTACCTTTGCGATACGGTCCACAATTCTTTTTCTCCATGCTGGGATAGCGCTACCTGGTCTGGTAGCACGTCCAACCTTGGGAAGTTTGGCGCCAACGATTCGGCATACTGCCAGTGCAGCGCCAAGTCCGTATCGCAAAGATCCCGGCTAGCTTCCAAATATTTTGCCAGCATCGGGTTAAGAGACCTCACGACAGACCGACTCCGCTTACTTAGGGGTATGCGAGGGAGACGTGGTCGATTCTCGAGGGGCATTTCGCGCACCTCCAGAATTGCCTTCTCCAATATGCTTCCCATCTGCTCTATTTCTTGGGGAACTATTCCATCATCGCATAAATCTACAGGATAAACGCGGCCTCCGCATCCGCTTGTAACCCTGTGGGATCCGCAACGTCACGGTCGCGTCACGTGGGCGATGGGGTCGTCATTTCCCTACACCATTTATTATTAATTTATTATTGTAACGGCCGGACTTTGCGAAATCAAAAATCAATCAAAAAGATTGGTAAATGCCAATCCTTTTTTTCCAAAAATTATAACTGAGAAAATGCCGATGAAATAAGGAGAGCCTTTTTTTATTGGACTTTTTATTCAAAAGTTAACGTAAAACGACAATATTTTACGAAAGACTGCTTCATAAAACGCGTGAATTTTAAATACGTTCACAAGAATGAGATCCTTGAACGATGATTATTTTCTATTGCTATTGATTGACACATGATGACAAGTGACATTACTCTATTTTTTGTTTTGAATTTGAATAAATAGGTTTCTCGTAACTCGTAAGGCAAGGGAAGTTATCTATATTTCTTGTTAACATTATTGTAAACACGCCTCGATATGGACTCAATTCAATAAAACAAATGTGCAATTTATTTGGAGTTTTCTATGTCAATGTAAATGTGACGTGTTACGTGAAAGTATCCCAATTTTATGTTTAAAATTGATTAGTGAAAGTTTTCTATTTTAAATAAATATATTCAAAAATGAGTATGTCGAAATGTGTCTTGTTGAAAATTTCTCATCAAACAAAAATGATTTATTCCAACAACATCTATTCCATGAGGTGATTATAATATTATTTTAAATGTTATGTTATTATAACTAAAATAAAGGTATTACATACATTTTAAAGTGTAATTGGTATGACGATTATCACGACATTAGATATACAACAGTGAAACTAGAAGGTAATGTGTCTAAATGTAGTTGTTAATATTGATTTTAAATGTGAATAGAGGTAAACTCTGATGACGCTTTCATTTGCCTTTCAACCGTCGCACAAGTCGTTGTTTACTTCCCCATTAAAATGATTTTTCATAAAGTATTCTGTACTAATTTAAATATTGGATTTTTTTCCTTCAAGCAGGCATATGGCAGGTTAAATTTTATTTAAATATTTGATTTATCAATTTTGTGCTCCACTTTTAGGAAGTGTAATGTTTCGCATACTTTTTTTTAATTGATAATAAGTTTCAAGTATGAAATTTAATACTTAGTTTTTCTGTATTTATTTTTTTGATTTCATTCTAAGTTCGATCTTGATAACAAATGCATTGTTTTCAGTGCCTTGAAGCATATTAGGCATAATATGTCTACCAATGTATCCATATCAGAACTTCAGAAAGAACGGGAAACTTTTCAAGATGTTCTACCAAGAGTGATTGATTCCCTTATAACAACTCCTAAGTTGTTAGATGTGCCAGAGTTTTCAATGTGGATGAAAAAAGTAAAGACTCAATTTTTTGCTCTGTTTTATTATCCCCCTTTATAATTAACATTTATTTGTTTTTGCAGATATTGGATTATAATTTAGCAGGTGGGAAAAAAAATAGGGGACTAACTACAGTGTTGGCTTATGAAACATTTGAGAAACCCGAAAATATTACAGAAGAATCATTACGTCAAAGCCGTACAATGGGATGGTGTGTGGAAATGGTAAATACATATTTTTTATTATTCAAAATTAATTTAGGAGGTTTTTATAATTGGAAATTTGCACAAAATTTTACCATGGATTTATGAAAACTATCAATATGTTATAAGGCAATTGGACATGATTTTGTTAATGTCATCCAAATGTGAAACTCTTTTTATTTCAAGGGCTTTTTTTTAATTTACTCACTAAAGCAAATTAGATTAGATAGTTCAATCAATCTCATGTGAGATGTCAATTAACTTAATGTTATGTTAATGAAACCCTACAACAATTCCAATTTAGAATAAAAAGAAATATTTATCAACCTGTGCAAACATTACAGTTTTTTCTATTGAAATAAAAAAAAATAGACAAATTTATGTTTACAATTTTCAACCTTTGCCTTAAACAGATAGTTGGCAGCTATTAATATATGGTGTAATTATTCTTATCATTAACAGCTCAATAATTAATTTAAAACCTATTAAAAACTATAGATAAATATGGCATCATTAAATAGTACTATATATTCCAAAATTATAAAATAATTATATGTGCCTAAAATGTGTGTAAAATATTCTGTAAAATAATTATAATTATATGTAATAATATAAATAATGATGTGTTATTATGTTGCCGTTAGCAATAATGCATGTTCTGTCCTTTTATGTCTAAAATGCTTGTAATATGTATATGTATATATATTTTCTCATATACATCCTTATATGTATATATATATATATATTAATTATCTATTTGAATCATTATGGATTATAATATATATCATTAACATGGCTATTTGAAGGTTACTACATAATGTGGTAATTACACAATAATTTTTTTCATAATCTATGCAGATAATAAAACAATTGCAATAAGAACCAATCGTTGATAGAACAATCTTTGTTAGAACAATCTTTGTTATGATTTAACATAAGTGTTATTTACGTTGTATTATGTTGTTATACATTTTTCTCTTGTGGCTTTGCCTTTGGTATATGTCTGGTATTTGGTAGTTGTCTTTTAGCGCGTTTGTTTGAAACGGTGAAAAACGGTTAAAAGTGAATTTCAAAGACAATGAATAAAAAAAAACTCAGTTTTATGTGTAGAAACAAAGCTCGTCACATATCCACATTGTGGTACTAAATACCACCACATAAAAAACGAAACATATTTGGCAATAACAAAGCTAAGCAAAACGGAACCTCAACATCAGGATGTGTGTGTATCGTTTGAGGTCAAGAGAAAGTTTTCATCTCGCAAAACTACTCAAATAATCAAAAAAAACGTACGTGTGTACTCATGTACTCACGTAAGAAGTTATATTTCTTTGGCGTTACAAATGAGAAATAACTCAAAATTTGATCCCTTGTGGCAGTACTTGTATCAGAAAAAGGTCATTAAATGCTACTTATAACGGTTTAATTAAATAACTTGGAATAATAGGTAAATGTCAAAACTTGTTATTGGTTGCCATGGTAACAATATGGAGTTGGACTAATTCACTTACTTATACTACTTTACTTTTATATTTTAATTACTTACTTTACTTTTATTATTTTAATTACTATACTTTTAACATCGGAAAAATTCACTTTAATCGTTTCTCACAACGCGCTAAAAGAAGTATAACTTCAAAAACACTTCGCTGGTATATAAAATTTTCTTGAATTTTCTTGAAACATCGTGGAGGGTGGTTTTGGCTTTATTGAATACTAGAGACGCGCGCCGATTTCGCGCCTGGTACCAATATATAATTAAAAAAAAAAACCTTAATCCGAGGATTACCAAATTTTCCGTTGCGTTAATTTATTGTATATTTATTTAGTATAATTTATTAAGATTATCTAAATGTTTCATCAAAATTGTTCCAGCCATTTTGGTGTCCATAGGGAGACTTCGATTATTATGACATGTAAACATAAATACTGTGAACTGTCTAAAAACGTTTACTGCGGTAGGGCCATGCAACAGTGTTCGCTGTTGCACGAATGGGCAGGTCCGTCGGGTTAGTACCACGACCTCACAGAAGACCGGCCTCAAGTATATGTGTTACACTCGTTTCGTCTGGTGAGTGAGGTAGCCGGGGCCCACTTTATTAAAAGTTGGCAACGTATTTGCAACCATACGGGAGTGGCAAATGTTCATGGGCGGCGGTTATCACTTAACATCAGGTGAACCGCCAGCTCGTTTGCCACTTTTTCACATGAAAAAAAAACCAAACTACTCGAAATACTTATTCCTTGTAAACCCCAGTTGCAGGCCTACCTCTTGATGACCGACGACATAATGGACGGTTCGACAACTCGCCGGGGAGTACCCTGCTGGTATCGTCTGCCGGAAGTTGGTCTCGGCGCGATCAACGACACAATCCTGATGTACACGTCAATAATGGAAATACTTAAGACGCACTTTGGCCACACGAAACAGTACACGCACATCGTGAACTTGTTCAACGAAGTGAGTAGCGCTTTGCTTTTCGTTGAGTCTTCGGACACTAATGGATATGGAATATGGAAGTGGAAGGATAATGGATATGGAAGGATCTTGTGGTGCATTTGTAATGCAATCTTCTGTAAACACACTTGCAAATTAAACTACTAGTAGTATAGTTGCTGGTGTCCGCGCATTCGTCTGCACAGGGTTAGTACTTGGTGTAGTTTATTTTCTTCTTAATGTCCTATCTGTCTTTGTACCAAAATTCATCAAAATTGGTTTTGCGGTTTAGTCGTCAAGGCGTAACAGACAGACGGAATTACTTTGTGAGACCCTTGTATCTTTAAAAGTTATTAGCGGACCGACAGACTTTGTCCTGTACACGCGACTTAAATCCGACAACAACTTATAAACAAAAGAATTAAAAAAAAAAACATTGTAGTGGGCCGAATTGTGGATCTAAACCATTCTCGAATCTACCTGAAGACACACAAAAAAATTGATTAAAATCGGTCCCGCCGTTTGGTAGGAGTTCATTGACATGTACACGTACAGAGGAATTATAAATGTAAAGACAGCCTATGTGTTAATCTGATGTATGAGCTATATTATTGTAACGTTTCATCCATTCAAAATTTTTTGCATAAAACTGTAATAAACATCACTTATTTCAGTCGCTTTATTCACCAAACTAATCGGCTTATTTCAACGCCGACGAAAATCTCGACGTATTTTGTCTACTTTGTTTTTTCGCATTTTGACCAATGCTTGGCGCATATATTGTTATGCCGTTTACATGACACAAATAATTTCTGTATTTCATTTACATTTTTCATATTTCAATTTTTACATTTTTACTAGATGTAAACGAAACGAAAGTTGCTCTACTATAAAAAATTACCCATATTAATTAGCTTAATATATTTTGCGTACAAATAGGCGATAAAATGTATTAATAAACCGAATATTTACTACGACTACGGCGAAACCAACAAAACGCATACACAGTAGAATCGCATTGAAGGTTCTCACTTTCACCAGCGTCTGATTAATAAAACAGTCATGCTCCTTGATGGCCAAGAGGTACATAACTCTCGTTTAAGATACCACAGCCCTGCTAGCCTTTGATTTTTACGATCGATGAAGCTTTGAAAGCCTACAGAATGAATTTAAAATCAAAAACTTATTATTGCAAGAGTTTAACGTGATACTCAAATATTTGTACAAATTGTGTAGGTGTATATTTATATAAATTTTGACGAAGTAGATCTACTTTCTAGCCAACCATGAGCGAGAATAATAAATGTAACTTTACTGTGACTCTCTTAACTGAATTTCTTACGTCGAACAATTACTCATTAAGCAATCAATAATTGCTCGACGTAAGTTAATAACACTTGCATTACCGCGTCCTTAACTTTTATTTTCCTGCTTTATTCGAGATAATAGTGCAGATGTCAAGACAATTCCGAACACGACACTTCATTGTTATCGACTGAATGTTATTATTTCCGTGAAGTATTTTTATTATTCATTAAAACAATAAAATAAAATATAGGAAGATAGGGAGAGGTTATAAACCCCGTGCAATTGCATCTCGCACATAAATAGAACCGGCTATTTACATAATGAAATAATCGGAAACAAAAGTCGTAGAGAGATTAGAACGAAATTAAGCCACTTGAAAGTGTAAAGTAACCCATATATCCCTGCTGTTGGGCATAGCATGGCACCACCACGCGACCGACTCCATTGCGGATTGGTAGACTTCACATATTTTCGAAAATTTTTTTTATTACTTCGTGGGATAACCGCCACGAGGTTTTCTGTCACCGCTGAGCACCGTAATAAGTCGGCATATAAAATGGCAACTTACTATTTTATTGGTGCCTGCACATGATTTAAATTCAGGTTGCTCGAGTATATTTTATTAAAAGCAAGAGCGTACTCGACTACTCAACTAATTGTGTGTAAATTTTATTTCAGACGCTGATGTTCACATCGGTCGGACAACATTTGGACTATACAATGGCACAGCGAAAGAAGAACGATTACAGTCTGTTTACAATAGAACGTTACAACGCTATCGTTAAATACAAGACCTCGTATTATACATTCAAATTACCTGTTTGTCTGGGCATGCTTTTGGCTAACAATACCGATCCGGAGAGTCACAAAAGAGCGGAGGGGATCTGCTTGGAAATCGGGCATCTCTTTCAAATGCAGGTAATTTCCATTGTTATTTAAAAACGTTCTTAAAAATTACCCGCAGGTCTGTTCGGTTCCCACCTTTTGTTATAACGACTCGTGTTTAGAACACGATCTCAACGCGAATTTTAGATAACAAAGAACTCACGATAATAAAGATTTAATTTTGTACGCAAACACATTTAACATATCAATAGCTGTCTATATCTTATTCGCTATCTATAATCCTATTCAATTGTATGTATTTTTAAATTCACTGTAGATTTCTTTTGTGTAAACACAAACGATAATTTTACAAATTATTTTACGCACATTTTTGTTGAGTATGTTTAGCAATTTTAATATATAGGACAATATGCTTGAAATTTTACGAATTGAAATGTGACAATATATAAGAGCAATAAACGCGCAGTCTACATAAATATACTACCTTATATTATACTTACATAACGATGTACTTTACATTTATGTTAAACAACGAAGCGTGTCACTTGTTTTTTCTTCTGTTATTATTTTTATTTACAAAGGTTGAGGTTTCCATCTAACAAAAAATACTTTATTTAATAATATATACCTATAGCCTATATTATTCACAGATAAATTAGCTTTGTATAAGTGAAGGATGTTTCAAAATATGTTTAGTAACTTGAATAAACCCGTTAAAAATATAAGGGAAAAAATATAACCTTTTTATCATATTAGTACGGGTATAGATGAGACATGCAAAACATGTATTATAATAATAATATTTTTCGACACATATTTACACAATATTCGTTGGTTCCAAACTAAGCAACGCTTGTACTTGCATTCAGACATGTCTACGTATTTTTACAAGGAATAATATTTCCGAATAATCTTATAAATACATATATGTTACGACCTTCGACTTTTTGCGTGTTTGGCTAAAATTATCTAAGTTAATTTTTATGATACGCGTGTTACCACGGCAACCAATAACAACTTTTTGACATTTACCTATAGGTCCCAGTTATTTAATTAAACTGTTATCTATTGCATTCAATGTCCTTATTTTACAAATATTGTTTCTCTTTTGTCACGCTGTAAAAGTATAACTTCTTACGTGGCGTAGATAAGTACACTCAATGGATGATGCAGGTGCCCATGGGTGGCGGTGAAGGCGTACCATCAGGTGACCTGCTTGGTCCCTTGCCTCCTTTTTCCATAAAAAACGTTATTTTTCTATTCTTGCTCTAAAGAAGTATCTGAACATCTTGCATGCATGCCCCTTACATATTTTATAACCTCTCACATAAATAATTAACAGCCGCGATAGCACAGGGTGTCCGGGCGCTCGCCTCTAATTCAATATACTGGAGCAACCTCAGATCGAACCCCGGCAACACCAATGAAATTGTTAATTTTAAGTTGCTGACGTATCACGTCCTCAGCGATGAAGGAAAACATCGTGAGAAACCTGCATATTTTCTAAATAATAACAAAAAAAATATTTCGAAGATATGTGAAGTCCGCAAGAAGGGGTGAAGTGGTTAGGGGGGAAGGGTAAGAGGGTGGGGAGGGGGGATGCAATCCGCAGTGGGTCCGCTTGGTGGACTATGCCCTGATACTCTCTGTACAGAGGTGACCTTTGCCCAGCAGTGGGACATGTACAGGCTGTTACTTTATTTACCCGTTTAAATTTTTTTTACAAAATTTGTTGCTCCCATTGCCCGCAGGACGACTTCATAGACTGCTTCGGCGCCGAGTCGGTCACCGGGAAGGCCGGCACCGACATCCAGGAGGGCAAGTGCTCCTGGCTCGCGGTGTCGGCGCTGCAGCGGTGCAGCGAAGCGCAGCGCGGCGTGTTCGCGTCTTGCTACGGCAGCAAGCAGCCCGCGCACGTAGAGCGTGTGCAGAGGCTCTACGAGCAGCTGGGCCTGCCGCAGCTGTACCGTAGCGAGGAGCGCGCCCGCTACGACGCCGTCGTAGCCAGCGTGCGTAGCCTCCAATCGACGACTGACCTGCCGCCCGAGCTCTTCCTCAGGATGCTCGATATGATCTACAAGAGGAAGCAATAGCGCTTCGCACGTCTCGAACTAAATGGCGGAATTTGTAAACAGCAATTTAACGTCAAAGGCTTCTCGGATCGTAACAAACGTTTGGAACTGTCTGAGGTATTGTTTTATATGAATCGTGTATTTATCTTGTAGTTGTTGGATGTAAACTTTATTGACCACTATGTAATGCGTGCAGACCGATAGAATGATTTTTAGACATAAAGGAAATTTGAACTTCCAGCGTCTTTAGTGCATGGGGTCCTTTGTGGAAGTGTTAACATGGGCGTTGGAGTGTGAATTCATAGGGTGATTAACTATTACATACATTGTTCGGCATGTTCTTGTTACGGACTTAGGAACGATGTTTATTTTTAATATTAAAACTCGTATTCATTCTCTATGGGGATAGCAGTCGATAGTTTGTGTGGAGACAAGTTTTTTTTATGTTACCGAGGTAAAGGTAATAATAAAATTATGTATACAATTTTATTTAAAATAAATTTTGTGTCGTGGAAGCAGCTAATAGAGTAGCCAATACATAAAAGCGGATTACACATCCGCTTTTATGTATTTTTATTTATCACAAGTATGTCTCCGTTGTTGAATTAATTTACCAAATTTCGCCCCATATACCATAACAAAAAATGCTACTTAGATATGTTATTGCGTGATTGTTTTCGAAGTACTGTTTTACTGATTTGTTCAAATTGAAAACAAAAATACATAATTGAAAGGACTACAACCTAATGATTTATAATCTTTAGTTTAGGGAAATAAAATATTATTTACATGACGTGTCAGCGTGTTTATATAATTATAGCATACGCATGTTTAATCGCAAAAGATGTTGTTTTTCTTGTACATTTATAATTATCTCATAATAAGTATTGTACGGAAAGTGAATTGTCGATCAGATATTCGACCACGATAATTATTAAAAGTGTGATGAAAACACGAAAATTTGAAAAAAAGTAGTATTAATATTAAGTTTTCTTTTATTCAACATAACTTCGTTCACTATAAAAACAGAGTTACAAGTAAAGTAGTATAATAAAGTTTACGAGAAGGTTTTTATTGATTGCATTGTAGCTCGCCAATAGCTACTATAGACCAAAATTGTGCGTGCCTATAGTATCGTACACATGTGTTAGAAGTGAAACCTCCTATACAAAAACGAAGGAAGAAGTGGGACAAAAATATAGCCAAACCGTGTATTAAGTAAACAATGGTTAGCTCTCTCCCCTTAAATGTTATGTTCTCCTTAAAATTATCGTCCAATTATAGAACTGTCGCTTAAGAAATTTCAGTTCTTTTTAAGGATAAGAAAGGATTTTGGTTAACAAACAGGAAAAAAAGGTACAAAGCTGTTTTATATTTACATATTTGTATGCGCAGTATGTGCAGCTTTGCAAAGTCCCCGTAAAATTGACCTCCAAGTGCGGCCGATGGTGCCGTGAATATTCTCAGAATTACGAATGTTTTATACTAACTGTGCTCCAGGAAACAACAGGGTACCAAATCTTTTAGCAAGTCTTTCTAGTCGTTCAATAAAGAAAAAAGTCCGCGTTGAATCAATTTTTATTATATAATTAGATCGATTGCAACAAATAGGAAATCGGTTCATTGTCCGACAGAGTCAGTGAGTTCAGTTATTAACATCTCTTAATTCACTCTGTTGTGTTAGAACAATATGTGTTACACAACATAAACAACTATACATTTCGTTAATGTAAATTTGTAAAGAGTGGCTTGGGATTCATGAAAAAAATGCATTTACTTTAAGACTTCTTTGACCAGCGGAATCAAAGACGTATTACAAGTAATTATTCAAGTTATAAATTAAATAAGAAGTTGGGTATGTTTTGGGCTTACTAACATTATTTAAAAGTCGGTAATATAATCTGATATACATTATTATTATTCATATTTTATTGACTATCTTACTGGTAAAAATGTCATCGACATCACTTTTTTGAATAATTGAAAAATTTTCCGTGTGCACATAAACAGGAACAAGTTTTGTATCGAAATAGTGAATTGAATTCGTTTCAATTTCTAATTAAGTCAATAATTCGCTACGATTTAAACATTTACCTATTTCGTATAAAAGTTGCTAAAAAGAAAAAATGCTATGAGGTGCTATGACATTTACTTGGCCTCTCAGCTTGGTTGTTTAAGCGTCTGGGCGCATTTACGGAAGTCGCTGGTTCGAAACCCGCAGCCCCGAAAGTTTTTGTCCAATTGTCTTCAAAAATTCACATTACAAGGTTCATCTTGAGTGTAAAGGTGAGCACTAAATTAATCATAAAAATATATATAGCTATAATCATAAGGTTTTATACGCCTATAAAGAATTGAGTTATACGCCAAATATATGATATATAGAATATATAATATATAAACTAATCATGCGATTTAAAGGATTGTGTATTATTTCATTTCAATAAATATCTTTTGTATTGTTTGCAATTATTATATAAGTTATTCATGTTAATGTGTTTAATTTATAATTAAAATGTTGAAGATACACATTTCGTTTACGCTATTCAATGTATAGTACCTGGAGGACCGAGCTTTGCTCGGTTTGTATTTTTCTTGGTAAATCGTGAATTTTGGTAAATCATGAATTTTGGAACTTACATTAAGATACAAATTACTGAGTGGTGAAATATGCATTATATTTTTGATCTTTCCGACCTAATAATAAGAAAATATGAACTGGTTGTTTAAATAAATAATCTCAACATTTTATTACAAACAAGTACTTTTTACATTTTATCAAAAAAATAAGTAAGCATATCATCATCATCACATTTTTAATAATGAAATCTGATCTGATCTCAGTTTAAGGTCAGTTTGTGATGTTTTTGCACCTCTGACAAAAGTGTTTAATAGCCATTTGTCTGGCATTTAGCCGGTGCCGGCACCAATGAAGTTTTTAACTTTAAGTGCTGACTTATCACGTGCTCCGCGGTGGAGGAAAACATCGCGATCCTGCATATTTTCGAAATAATTACAAAAAAATATATATTTCGAAGATATGTGAAGTCCGCCAATCCGCAGTGGGGCCGCGTGGTGGACTATGCCCTGATACCCTCTGTATAGAGGAGACCTTTGCCCAGCAGTGGGACATGTATAGGCTGTTACTTTATATCTGGCAACAGTGTAAAGTAATACACAATATCGCGGTCAATGTACCATCTCTTGTTACCAATTTGTATGCCGTGATAAGGCCTGGACATGATAAGACATGTATATTCACTACACATATGTATGAATATTTAATATCTTGCATGCATTGTATGTACACCATGTTTTTACAAATGAAGACTATCTCTCTATCTATCTACCTAACCAACGAAGAATGCGGTTAATTTTATATATGACTAGTTGACTCGGCAAACGTTGTTTTGCCATATAAATTATTTGTAGAGGAATTGGAACGCACGCATAAAGTGTTTGACAGGTTACACAGACATAGTTGACATTGGCCTAAAGGTCCTTGATACCGGGCCATAAAATCCAAAAAAAAAAACATAGTTGACAGATGCAGTTTGTATGGGAAAATAAAATTGTTGGTATTTCGATTTTCTATGCAATTTTTCCATAATTTCTCATCGTTTAAACCTTCCCTGGACTGCCACAAATATTTCAAAACCGAAATTAGCCAAATCGGCCCAGCGGTTCTCGAGTTTTAGCGAGACTAACGAACAGCAATCCATTTTTATATATAAAGAAGATTAAATGTCACTAGCATATATTAAAGCCATATAAAATCGACCTATCCGTAGAACAGAGTTACATATGACTTTGTCACCAAAACGGTTTTTATGTAGGAATAAAGCTAGGTCGTCCTAAATATTGTATTAGTAAAATCGGTATTTTGTTAAGTTATGTAGTTTCGAAGATAGCAGTCGAATAATGGCACATGTGGTACATTTCTCCAAAGAATAAGATATTGAGAGTAGTAAAGTTAGTTAAGTACCTTTATTCGCTGTCGAAAACGGCGCGAAGGCTGAGTGCGCGGGGGGACACATCAGCAGACCTGACTTTGTTCTCTGTGAGACGACTTTTGTGAACGTCTTTGAATGAAAATCGAATACGAGATATATTTTTAATGAAAGCAGTTATTTTATTATGTGAAAATGAAACGTACGCGTACTAATTATATCTTAAGTCTTATATCGAAGCCTAAAATAAAAAAAACAAATAGTGCCATATTTGCTTCCACGGGGAAAAATAACGGCGAAATGGATATTTCAGGTAAGCAAGCAGATATGGGTAATTCATTTGGTTATTTAATATAAAACGTTAGCAATTTTTAAGATTTTAGCTATATTTTCCCATAGATAATTCAAAATTTCAAAAAATGGAAATTAGTCGTTCCATGTTCATATTATGTTTCTTTTTTCCATCAGATTTTTACAATTATTTGAAAATGAAACAATAAATTAATTAAGTATTCATTTCATACACAAAGTACTAATTTAAATGTAAAATCAATAATTAATCCGATAAATACATTTTAATATACTACTGTATTCTTAGGAAATTTTCGCAAAGGTTTAGGGTTATATTTAAAAATGTTACTTTCTTCGCTGGAAACGATTTGTAAATTATGAGTCCTATGTGTAAATATTACTTTATTCTTGGTTTGTTTTGGAGATATACCTTTTTTCCAACAGAATATTACCATAAAAGCCTAATAATATGTAAATTACTTTACTATTAAGTGTTCTTCCAGATGTCTTTATAAATATTTAACGTCAGTTCGTTTTGTTGATTACTTTGATATTATTTTTGTAACGATATTTTGTTTTCAGAAAAAGTTGCCGTCAATCGTGAAGCATTAGCGACGTCACCACTGCCAGAAGGAGCTGAAAAAGACCTTTCTGAAGTATGGGAAGACGTTTTTGGATCCACAGATAAAAAATGATTTAACAACAGTTAATACTACAAATGTATCTAGCCCTATACATCTTCATATTGCTGAAAATGATGGAACAGATACCCAGCTTTTTTCATCTAAGATTGCAAATAACGATGCTCTAACGCCTTTTGCACTTGAAGCATCATCAAGCTTTGAGGATTCACTCGCTGTTCTTTTTGGCGATTTGCCCTCGATTTCTACACTAAATATTTCAACTCCTGTACCATCTCCTATAAATACACATAAAAATGTCCGTATACCTTCTGTCCAATTCATAATTATGACCACTGGACTATGCCACCTACTAGTAACGCTTATAATACAGCCAACTTTTATGGTCACGATAAGCTATCTACTCCACAAAAGAATATATTTAAGAAACAGTTGCTTCGTACATCCGAGTTGTCTGACGTAGAAAGAAAATGCCTTAAAAATATTAGTCAAAAGTATGTCACAAAATAAGGAAAGGTAGTTGACGATAAAACTGTAGGTGCTCCGTGTCGATGCAGATATTGGTGTTTTGAAAAAAATACGCACGATCAACGATACAATTTCAAAAGTTCTGGTTCTGGCATTTGGGAAGTAGAGTTAAACGGTGGGCTTTAGTAGTTAAGTACTCCAAAAAACAACTAAAGAACAGATGCTTGAATCGCGAAGTCCCCAATAATCGTAAATCCAGAGCAAGGCCATAGTGAAATAGTCAATGTATACAAAACAATGTTTGTAAATACTCTCTGTTGGTAGTACAATTGTTAACATCTTGTGAAAAACACGATAGTAGCTCTATTATGGAGGAGATAAAAGAGGACGTCATTTAAATCACAATCAGCTAATAAAACGCGACCCCGTCAAGAGTGTATGTGACCATATGCGATCCTTTGTTTTCGTCGAATTACACTACATTCGCAAAACATCGATGGAACCATCTGGATAGCAGTTTAAGCGTTTCAAGAAAGTTTCAACTTTACAAGGATTGGTTTGACGGTGCTCTTTTATTCTAGCAAAGCAGTCAATGAACGCCAGTATCCCCACCAAATTATACTAAATGTATCCTTATGAAGTCCTGAACATGACAATAGATCAGTTTTCTGATTTAAAAGCACACGTGAATGACAAAGTTTGGTGCAAGAATACGGAAAAAGTGTTCTGGGATTGTATAAAAGAAGTATTTGTGAACAAATCTGAACCGAACAAACCATATCCTCAAATACTCACCACATTGTACCGCACCGAAGTAGCTTATACAAAACACCATTCAATTTATCGAAAGATAAACATAAAGATCTCATTAGTTTAATTCATTTGGTAACTATACCTGCTCAATATGCGGATGTGAACAATGAAAATAATTATATATTAGTAACGATAGTGAAGAATAATAACAATAATCTTATTTATATTGCCTGTTATCTACTATATACGTGTTTTGTGCTAAATCTCTTTTAGTACCTACCTATCTGTTTTATTGTTCAAGCCATACAAGCAATATCATAATAAAAATTATTTATTTATGTCAGATTATACAATTTTAGAAAAAATATAAAAAATAATAAATTATATTATTACAGTTATATTATAATAATTACAATTTTAGAAGTTCTTTTATTTTTTATGTGGTAGGACCACGCTGCAACCTCGGCTGTTGCACGAATGGGTAGGGTCGTCCGGGTAAGTACCACGACCTCACAGAAGACCGGCGTCAAGTGGAAGTATAATACTTTCGCGTTTCGTCTGGTGAGTGAGGTAGCCGGAGCCCAATTTTCAAAAGGTTGTCAACGCATCTGCAACCCTCGGGTGTAGCAGATGTCTATGGGTAGCGGTTTTCACTTAACATCAGGTGAACCGCCTGATCGCTTGGCAACTTTTCACATAAAAAAAATGTTAAATTTGATTTTTTTTTATGAATGTGATGTTCAATTTTTATCACATAAAACTTTTCAACATAGTGTATATGCATAAAATAAAGTTAGAGGTACACATGGTTCCACCACTAATACCAAGAATAAGGTTTTATAAGTAAATATGACGCAGCTTTTTCCATAATAAATTGTCACATATGTACATAAACACACTTAAATTCCGAAATATAGGTTTTACATTTGGTGTTTTCATAAAAAACAGAGCTCAATAATATTGTACATGTTCAGGAAAATAATCAATACTCTACAACAATTCAATAAAAATTGAAACCAAATTTTATGCTGGGCAAATTTCAAATCGCTCTCCTGTAAAGTTACGATTATGCAAAAGTAACTTTATTTTACGGATAGGTCGAAATATTTCAATTTAGTTCTAATTTCATTATGTCGTATTTAGAATGGTGTGTGTTTCGGAATAATTAGATTTATCGTAGAATAAGATGATCATCTTATCTACTGTATTAGTTTCTTTTATGTTTTTGCCCCATCTTATCATAAGATCCTATCCTAAGATCCATATACCATAAGATCATCTATATTGTTTACATAATTAACTTTAGAAAAATTTGGAATACCGTGACTATTATATTTTACTCTCTTCACAAAATTAGTTTTCACTGATATAGCAAATGCAGGATGATAGTTGTCCACTTTTACGAGAGGATTAGTATTGATGTTTCAGTATAATATATCACAACTTTTGGTTAAAATTATGTCTAGTGTATCTTTCTATATTGGATTGATATGATGAAGATTGTAAAAAGAAAGAGTATCGTTGAAAAGGTTATCCGCTGGAACCTAGGTGCCACTGGGCATAAGGGAGACTGGATTTGGGCAAAATTGCCAAGTTAAATTGGGCAAGCTAAAATCATCTAAAGTTTTTTTGCATACTTTTGAGGCATTGTGTCTTGAAATACGAGCATTATATTAGATAAGATACTATCCAAGTGATCATCAGAGAGGGTGGAGCATTGTGGAGAGACCACTAAGTTAGATGAGCTACAATTGGAATGTATGCGACATCGACTGTACTTCCCGGACCTTGCTCCAACAGATTACCATTTTTTCCGGAATTTGGTCAACTTCTCACAGGGAATAAAATTCTACTCCGATGCGTTAGTCCAAACCGCCTTCAAAGTCTTCAAAGAGTTTATTAATTCTCGCCCCCATGGCTTTTTAGTAAAAGGATCAATAAACTACCCATTAGATGGCAAAAGTGCATAGATAGCTACGGTGCATACTTTGATAAATTAAATATATTTTACAAAAAAATGAGTTTATATTCCTACCGTACAAAACGCCAATTTCATATGTAAGGACCTAATATATGAAATTAGGTCTATATCCATGTTATTTAGGTCGTAATTGTTGTATTTACATAATAAATTTGAACAGTTTTTGTAATAAAATACATTAGATAATATAAAAAAGGGGAATTACTAACTGTCAATTAATTCTGTAGTCACATTTGGAAAAAAGCATTTGATTTATGCAGAATTTCAATATCAAAATGATGTCTGTGGTTATTAATAGGAGCTATTACGCGATTTAAGAAAAATCATATTTTCTTAATTTATTCTAATTAAGTTCTAAATATCATGATTTTTTTTGGATTATATCTTACTTATGGATAAGAGATAATGTTAGTTTAAATGCGGAGCATATCGAAATAAAGGAACAATAGGACATGTATGTTTAAGAAAAACCCAATAATAGGATTATGTCACTATAAAGATTTATTTCAGTTTCCTTTTTTTAGTGCTTTTGTGAAAACCATTTCATATTTTGTATTTTACTTTCATATCTTTAAATCAACGAGTAACTTGAAGAGTTTTTGGTAGAAGTTTACACCAGGTATAATATTTGGCGTCAGCTCCTTTATATTCCTCAGAAACGCTTCATGTCGAGTCTGCTTTTCTTCAAAAAACAATTGTGATAAGTTTAATTCTTCGTATAGTTCCTGAATCACTTTTACATGATTTGGATCCCAGCTTCCATAACATTTTTCAAAAATACTGCGCTGCTTCTCATTGCATATTTCCAGTGCCTTAACTGCTAGCCAGGAACATTTACCTTTCTGAATATCGGTGGAAGATTTCAACCCATCGCAATTTAAATCCATCAAGTCGTTCTAAACATCAAAAAAAATGATATAATATTATTCCTCTTTATACAAAATAACTTTGTTATAATATATTAAATTGAAGCAGAAGTGTTTACGGAATTTATAGAAGTTTTATTTATTTCGGAAACTCCGAAACTTCACTGAATGATACTATAGATTTGAAAATTGATTATTTGTATGTTTTAATTAAATAGTTAAAATTTATACCATATAGATTATAATATAATATTTAATCAAACAGTGTTTCACTCCAATCCCGGACCCCTAGCTCGACAAGGAGGTACTATAAACTATACAATACAAAAACACATTCGAGAAATTATTTTTATTCTGAATATCTAAAGTACAAGGTCAGGGAAATATTAACACTAAGTTGATTAAAATAAATCGTAATCTTAACAAATTTGTGAGTAAGAAGAAACATAAATTGAAAGAAATGTGTGAAAACAGGGAAACCTCTAACTACAGAAATAACATCCCAAGATTCAACTTCAAAGTTACTTGAATATCTTCATCATCATTACAATTTTCGTCGTATTCAGAATGTAGCATGTATAAAGCATATTTCAAACACGTAATTACATGTTGCCAATATATTAGACACTCACCTGAATTTGCAGAAGAATGGCTATATCCATGGAAATATCTTGCACTTGATGCATAAATACATCTGTGGCTTTATTTGCCAAAAGAAGAGCGAACACTATCGGCCCTTTTATAGCAAATATCTGTTTATTTACCGCCATGGAGCAATAATTGTCCATCGTATAGTTGTCATAGTTTCTTTTACTTGCTAATGCTATGTCCATGTGTTGGCCAATTGCTGTTACAATATATATCTGTAAAAGCAGTTAATATATTATATTATAATAGAGTAAAATAAAAAAGAAATGGTAACTCTGTAGTAACTACGAGTAAATATTACATAACTATTGCTATTTGTCTGTCCGAGCTAGGATAACTTATAAAATAAAACGACAGGGTGCTATTTTTTTCTTTAACGCAATTAAATTAAAGTGGTTAAAGTGAAAAAAGTATTTTGGGTTCACGCTTACGATATGGTAATTAATAGTATAAGTACTTGGACAGCCGAGCTTCACGAAACAGCCGTATTACACATATAACATGTGTAACAAGAAATTATTTTTGAAAGTTATATAATTATATCATCATCATCATCATTTGTGCCTGTTTGAGTCCGCTGCCGAAATAGGCCTACCCCACAGATTGCCACCAAGCAGTCGCACAGTTCGTCACTCCATCTAGCGGCGGGTCTTCCAATACTGCGATGGCCAGTACGAGCCACTTGCTCTAGTCCTTGAGCTGCCACTCGAGAACCTTTCTTGACCAACGGTTATCAGTTCAGCGAGCTATAAGGTCGGCCCATCGCCACTTCAGCTTCCTAAACTGAGCTATGTCGGTTACCTTTGTTCTATTGCGGAAGTCTTCGTTGCGAACTCTATCACGCAGAGAAATACCGAGCATATCCCGCTCCATAGCTCGCTGAGCGACTTTGAGCTTCCTCATAGGTTATAGTTATATAAAGTTATAAAAATTAAAACTGAAACTACGAGTACAATGCGAACAATGAAAACAATGCTGAAATGTTTATGTTCATTGGAGTTTATGCATAAATAATATATGTGTCTATATAAATAATTATTTGAAATGATTTGTATTGCCTGAGAGTCTCTCACTGTACTAGTCTTTTGTTTAATAGAGCTAGCGGTTCACCTGATGTTTAGTGATAACCGCAGCCCATGGACATATCCTACAGTGAACTGTTGCGTGGCCCTACCATGGTTAATTATAATTTGTTAAATAATCTCCTTTAACCTCTCTTTCCTAATTTTAAAATAGCTTTATCTGGGTTTTTGCTAACTACTGATTCAGACAGATATAGGTTCGTTTTCTTCAAGGGACTTCTGATAACTCCACTGTCTGGTAAAGTCTATGTCGTCGTAATATTCTCCACCAAATTATAGCCTTAAAGGCGTACATTGAATATGGTGGTACAAGTCAGCCGATTTCAGATGCGGCATTTATGTGCATCTTAATTTTTGGATCTAACAATTGAAAGTTTTGTTATGTGATTATAATATACACGATTTATCACACTATAAGACCGAGCGTTATCATGGAGAAACGACGGGACAATTATCCATAATTACTCAGTATATCACGATAAACTTTAATATTATTCATATCTAATAATAAATATTCTTAAAGAAATTTATACTGCGCTGGCACAATCTATCTTAACTTACTGCCTCCCGATCTGGGGTGGAGCGTGCAAAACCAAGATGTTAGAAGTGGAACGTGCACAACGCGCTCTTCTAAAGGTAATGCACTTTAAACAGAGAAGATTTCCAACGCTATCCGTTGCTATCCGTATTATACTCCATCAGTATTGTCCTGTCAGTGAGAAAACTTTAGATTTTCCTCACTGTCTTGAGGAAACATAAATCAATAACCTTCGATAATAGCATAAAACAAAATAAGAGAAGAAGACTCATTACTGTTCTAAAGTTAACAAAAACAGCATTTGCTAGAAATCAATATATAAATCGCTCAGGATTTCTATACAATAAAATAAACAAAAAGCTTGACATCTACAGCAAAACACTTAAAAACTGTAAGCTAATATTGACTAATTTTCTTTTGCCTTTAAATTATGAGGAGACAGAGTCATTATTGCAACTAAATAAATAAACACAGTACATGCTGATACAAAATATTGACTTACAGTTATATATGTATAATATGCTCTTTTTATTTCGTTTACATTTTACTTTATATTTTTATTATTATTATTTTTTTTTTAATTTTTTATTTTCTTGTGAGTTGTAAATTATATAATCAGCTATGGAAGAGCGAAGTCACCTGTCACAGGCATTTTATGCTTACTAGGTGACTTCGATCACTGAATTTGATAAATGTTAACAAATATTAACATTTATCAAATTCAGTGATCTGGTTGGGTTTATAAATAAAAATAAAAATATAGATATAAATAAAAAATATAAATAAAAATAAAAATATTGCATATATAAAATAAATATTATGGATAAAAATATTATTATTATTATTATTATTATAAACATCTGTTGTTATTAATACATCGAAGCTCAAAAAAACTTTAGAGGAACTTTAAACGAGTACTTACCTTTCTATTTATATTATCTACTATATTTTATATTATCTTTCTATTATTGAGGTCCTCCGCTCTAAGGCACTTTCTCCAACGTGACCTTTTCATCTACGTCTAAAATCAAATGCTATCAGTTCAAATAAAAAGTAAATGAAAACTGCGACATACCTTATTGACAAAATTAATTAATTGCAAATACATCGATGCGGGGAAGTTTTGTCGTAACAGTTCATGGATGACACTCCGAAGAATACTGCAGTCATTCATGGCCAACGAGCCAACGTCCGGCAAAAAATACCAGCAGGGCTTACTGAAACGCACTTTGCTCTCATCCTCTATATCATCGATGAATAAGAAATAAGATATACCCTGCGAAATAATCACTAAATTGAATTCAGACCTTTAGACACCCTTTTTAAGTAATAAAATTTAAACGCAACGAGTTCAGAAGATTTTTACCAATTCCAAAACGCATGCCAACACATAAGCTTTCTGTCGTAATTCTTCGTTCGGACTTTCATCACCGTTAAGAATTTCGAAGGCATATAGCATTAGCTCGCCCAAAAGTGGTTTCGTCTCTAGAGTATAGTACAATGACATCTGTTAGAAATATAAAAAATTTTAAAACATAAAAAATATGCAAATATATGAATCAACAAGCCATCTTATGATGCATAGAATATGCAAAAAATGTTATAACTTTACTTTTTTGATACGAGCTTTCATATCCGCATTATCTAAAAGAGATCCTTTCGACAGGCAATCATCAATTATTCTCGGCAGAATAGTCTGGAAGTTATCCACAAATTGTTTGGACAGTGTACATGACCGTGAAAACGCCTTTTCTTCCTCTTTTCTGGAAATTAGAGATACACACGAATTGTAAACCATAATAAGTAGCACGGCGCGGCGTCTTTGTTACTTAAAGTAGAAATTGATTATAAATGGAAAGGATTGCGTGCCCTAATCATTATGTGTTGGTTTAATACTTTTTCTCGTAAAAATGAACCATATTGGGGAATTGTACCAAGCAAACAAAACTATGGGTTGAATTTGGAAATTGCTTAAAAATGTAAAAATTTACTAATTTTCGAAAAATTTAATTATAAATATCTCATAAAGTGTACAATATTTTTTATAGATATTTTTGTGGTAGGTTCAAATTAGACTACCGTTTGCGCCCCAATTATCGTTGAATTTTGGAACGCAAAGGTATAATAATTTCTTCTGTGCGCGTGTATGTCACTGAATTCCTCCTAAAATTCTGGACCGATTTTAATAAAATTTTTTGAGTCTTCAGGTCGATTCGAGAACGGCTTAGATTCAGAATACGGTCGGTTGTTGTCGGATTTAAGTCGTGTGTATAGGACTTCATCTGTCGAATCCGCTAGTATTGAAATAAAGTTTTTTTTTATTAAGTGAAAAAGCGATTAACAATAAATTTTTACAGGAAAATGTGAAATTCTTACCCATTGAGTGATTTGTTCGATTTATTTGATAACATTTTCTTTGTTCGTGACGCTGTATTCTTAGGCAGAGAACCATAAGGAGTGAGATGGATAAGGATATAAAGAACTTTATATACTGCTTTGAAGAACGCTGTCTAAAGGCACGCTGTAGAAAATAAACAATGATTAATTCATTCATTAATATACCAACTCGTAAACGAAGAAAATGTAAAAATGTTTAAATAAAAATTGTTTTTAGTATGTAACAATTTTTATGATGTAAGTTGTTTTAGTTTCAATAGAATAAATTTTAATTAGTCTAAATAATTTAAACAATATAAAAGACACCGAGTACTTTATACGAAGTTAATGATATTAAATTATTATTAAATAAAGATGTTTTGACTACTATAAGATGATTTTTTTTATGGGAAAAAAGCAGCAAACGAGCAGGAGGCTCACCTGATGGTAAGTGATCACCGCAGCCCATGGACACCTGCAACACCAGAGGGCTTACAAATGCGTTGCTGGCCTTTTAGGAAAAAGTATGCTCTCTTATTGAGGGTTCCCAGGTCGCAACGGTTCGGAATGACCGCCGGCGGCAGCTGGTTCCACAGAATTGTTGTGCGAGGCAGGAAATGCCTTGATTTCAGAAAATTGTCAAATTTAAAATAAATTTAATAATAAAATCGTAAAGGATTGAACGTAGATTCTGATATGGCGAACAAGTATAAGTACTATGCTTTAGATTAGAACATATTTTTTTTTATTACTAGCCCCAATTTCATGACTTGAAAGAACTCGAGAAAATTTAATGAGTATTTTGCAAACATACTCTATGATTAGCACCATTTCTTCCTTCTTCAACTTCTAAGGAAATTCATTGATCCATCGCTATCACCACTTATAACAAAAATAATCATCAGGATTTCACGAAAACATCGTGAATATTTTTATTATTCTTTAATCATGTCAAGGAAACGCGGATGAATAGAAATATATACTTAACAATACTAACTCTATTTCTTTGAAATAAGAAAACATAACCTTGGGAAATGGATCTCAACAACAAGTTAAGTTTGTCACTTCTCCTCACTCAGTCTTTACATTTTTTATTTCAAATAGTTTATTCAGTTTTTGCGTCGTATTGTTGAATATAAGTGTGTAAAGGTTATTTAGCACTCCTCAATTAGTTTTCTGTTGATAATTTTATTGCCTATTGTCTTAAAATGTTAGAATAGCACTCACTTATTATTTCTTATTTTCTATTCTTTGTATACCTACTGTAACAATTAATACAATATTATAATTACGTAAAGGTTTCTTTTGTTTGAAGAATAAAAAGGGATGGGTATACTTTTGGTTATTAACGAATAAATTTCATGAGTATTTTTAAATTTCCATCAAATACACAACATCCAAATCTTCACTTACATCATAGCTGTTTTACACCCAGGTCACTCACTCATGGCCTTATAAGTTTTAATTATCTAATTTCACTTAGGAATCCTCTAGTGCCTTCCATGATGAATAAAAGTTAATAGAACGGCCATTCTAGTGACAGAAGACACGAAAACCTTGTTTTCGTCGACCTGGAAGCGTAGCGTTGACGAGGGTGACCTCGTCAATGCACCGCTTTGCTTCGCAACGCAGTCACTAAAATATTAAAATTTTTGTTGAAGTCAAATTTTTGTAGTACTGTTTTTACAATATCATTCACTACATTCAACAACGGATGTATTACAGCCGCTGAGTATGTCACCTCAATATTATGCAAATATATACACACCGGCACAATTAGCGGAACAGAAAAAAAAGTGAGACTATGAGATAATAACGCATATATTTGGCGAAAATGTAATTAGACACAAAATAACAAATTGATTAACTTTTAACAACGACTTTGAAAAGTCTTCGTTATTTTTTATTGAAAAATAAAGAAATTTGAAATAAGTGAAATTTTTAGATGATTATGAACCATCACAAAAAATAAAAAAAGTAAGCATTAAATGATTTTAACAATAAAATTAAAGCAAAATTAATAACGAGTGTTTCCCCCTCTTGCTCTGATTACGGTTTCCATTCGTCTGGGCATGCTACAGATTATGTTATCGGTGATTTCTTGAGGCAACCGCCCCCACTCCTCAAGTAATGCGTTTCCAAGTTCATTCAGATTGTTGGGGGGTGGCATTCTGGATTTAACCCTTCTTTTTAGCAAGTCCCAGACATGCTCTATCGGATTCATATCGGGGGAATTTGCTGGCCACTGCATCACCGGTATAGCTACGTGGCTCAGATATGCCTGTACCGATTGTGCACTATGAGCACGAGCATTATCTTGCATTAGAATAAAGTGGTCATCAATAAATGGGGCAAATGGTACAACATGTTCTTCTAAAATGTCTCTGATGTATCGATCTGCTGTCATGGTCCCTCCTGTGACTATCACTAACTCCGTGCGAGCTCCCAAACATATCCCTCCCCAAACCGTAATCGAGCCGCCACCATAAGCCACTGTGTGTTCAAAATTAGACTGTATGTGGCGTTTCTCCTTTGCGTCTCCATATTCGCTGTCTCCCATCGATCTGTTTTAAAAGAACTCTGCACTCATCAGTAAAGAGAACCTGCTGCCATTCGTTCAAATCCCAATGACGATGTTCTCGCGCATAGCTTAATCGGTTTACGCGGTGACGTCTCTCAAGTTTTGGGCCTTTGGCAGGTATATACGACCCTAAACCAACTTCTTCAAATCTCCTGCGAACTGTACGCTCACTTACTCGTACTCCTCGAACGTCTTCCAGTTCATTTCGAGCTTGTACAGCCGTTAATCGCGTATTCCTACGAACTCCAAGTTGTAAAAAACTGTCATCTCGCCTCGATGTACATTTTTTCTACCTTGACCCCTCCTCCTCACAAGAGAATTAGACGATCTGTACCGCTGGATGCTGCGATGAATCGTTGATACTGGTCGACGAAGCCTTGAGGCAATTGATCTGTAGGTATGGCCATTTCTCCTCATTTCATCAGCCCTAATGATTTCCAGTGATATTAAGTCAGGCATAATAAAGAGCTTTTAATTAACAAAATTGCCTATAGAATAACAAATTTATAAAAAACCATTAAGTGCAATTTTTCAAAAAAAATACAATTACGTAGTTATTACTCGAACAAGTTGACAAAACGTATTGTTCGGGAAAATAAAACAAATGAATGAAAAAAGTGTATGTCATCTAATTTTCTATTTTCAAATTTGACAATAAATTAAAAAAATATCATAACTGGCCAGTTCCTCAAGTAAAAGATTTTAAAATCCTGCTTTTTTTTGTGTTCCGCTAATTGTGCCGGTGTGTATATTTTTTAGGGTTTAGTTGGATTTAGTCGCAAGCCGTGAGCCGATGGTTGCGAACATAATCATAATAATAAAATAAAGTTGTCACGCAAATATTGTAATGTTCATTGCATCGTAGTGTACGTAATATTTCAAATTATTTCGACGTAAGCCACCTCTTACCCTCAAAATGCTTTCATTTATAGATTATTTTTTAAGTTAAAGTACCTACAGCTAGAAGTCAAGGATCGCGTATCGGCAGAACGCCAAACCACGTAGGACGCTCTACTAGAAGACATCGAGCCATCCCATACCGCCTCTCGAATTCCTACCGCCATTAATAATACTTATAGCGTTTCACTAGCCCTAGATGACTCCGAAAAAGCCGAATACCTTGCGGACAAGTTAGAGCAGCTTGTACGCCATTGCGTGAACACATCGATACAGCCCACCTAACGGAGGTGGATCGCGTAATCGAACTCAGGTCTGCGCTACCGGTAGGTGAAGCTCAGTGATCCCCTAAGATGCCAAGATATTATTAAAATGTCAAACCCAAATCCGCCTCAGATAAAATTAGTAATAAAGTCTTAAAATTTCTCCCTGGGACGCTTATCTGCATACTGGCGATTGGCATTTTCAACACTTCCAACCTTCTCTCCTGCTCCCGGACGACTGGAAAGAGGCCACCGTCATAGGTATTTGCAAGCCGAGGAAACCCCCTAATAAGCCCTCTAGCTATCGACCTATCAGCCTCCTCAATTGCTTGGGGAAGCTAGACGAGCCGACTAAACGAGTGGCTCTTATTAAACAGACTCAAAGAGTACGTATTTTCAAACGGCCTTATGCGAACCCCAACCGAATTATACCGCCTGACGGAACACTTTCTTAAAGGCCTTAATCACTCTAAACACATCAGCACCGGGGCTCTCTTCTTCGATGTCGCAAAAGTTTTGGACAAGGTCTGGTACAACGGCTTGCTTTACAAGCTCTTCGCACTCAACGTATCAGACAGACTCGCACACACCATCCGGGCCTTACTGTTGAATCGATCCGATTCCGATTCCGAGTAGAGGGCACCCTCTCTACGAACCGCCCTCTCACGGCGGGCGTTCCTCAAGGCTCCTGCCTCTCCACCTTGATTTTTACGCTTTACACGAGCGACATACCAGAAGATCCATACGTCAATCTTCGCGGATGACACGGCGCTCTTTTACACAGATAAAAATCTTAATCAATTCGTCTCCAAAGCGCCGCCGAACATCACGGCGATTGGTTCCACAAAGAGAGAATAGAAATAAATTCCGACAAGAGTGTGGCGATTCACTTCACACGAAGTACTTACCCGTCACACCTTTATAAAGACACTGGCAAATGCAGAAAGATAGGGCAAATATCTCTCTATGGCCAATTACTACCCTGGGAGAAAAAGGTGAAATATCTAGGCGTCACATTCCACTCACGCATGACGTTCACACCGCATATTAAAGTCATTAGAAACAGGACCGCTTTCGTCTCCGGCCGGCTGTATCACCTAACCAATGCGTCAAGTAAAATGCCCGTAAGGCACATATTATTCTTATGTACCGACTACAAAAATTGTTGAAAACAGTCTATTAATTTTGTAAATACGCTGTTTTGGTGTTCTCAGCTATATTGACCACATCTGTTCCAAGTGTACAGACGTGATTTTTAACCGACTTCAAAAGGAGGAGGTTCTCAATTTGACTG